TGCATCCGCGCTCCGGCCGCGCCGCAGGTCTTTTTTTTTTTTGCTTTGCCCTTCTGGCTGCCCGTTTTTTGTTTTTTGTTTTTTGCTTGGGGCGGCCAAAAAGCCAGAGCCAGCCCTGCAGCCTTCCATAATAAAACTCTCTTCTGTGCTTTTGGGAAGGCAGTGTGTTGGTGCTGGAGTATTTGGTCTGATGGTCTGTTGTGTCTGATGTTTTGTGGATTCTCCCATTTTGAAAGCCTCTGAAAGTTCAGATTGTGGCCTTGGCTACACTGGCAATTCACAGCGCTGCACTTGCTGCGCTCAGGGGTGTGAAAAAACACCCCCCCTGAGCGCAGCGAGTGCAGCGCTGTAAAGCGCCAGTGTAATCAGTGCCTGCAGCGCTGCACGCTCTCTCGCAGTGCTGCAAGCTATTCCCCTCGGAGAGGTGGAGTACTTGCAGCGCTGCGAGAGAGAGAGCTCTCACAGCGCTGGCGGTGCGACTACACTCGCGCTTCACAGCGCTGCCAATCTGCGAGTGTAGCCAAGGCTCCAGACTTCAGGGAACCTCACATCATGGCTCAGACCCAACTTTGCCCCTAACAGGCTAAAATGAAATAGCTCAATAGTACTTTTTTTTCTAGAAAAAAAATCTGCCTGACACAGTCCACTACCTGATATCTGCAGCTCTTTAGTTCTGGATGCTATTGGTGGTACCGGTCTAAGGAAGGCACTCTTGGCAGATTTTATTGTTAAAAGTTAGACTTTGGCTTTTCCCTTAATATGGGCTATGAAATATTCCCAGTGAAACTCCAAAGGCCCTAAGCTATGTTAAAACTCAGAACTTAGGGTAGCTCACTGACAAGTTCCCAAAGGTTCCCTTTGGAGGGAACTTGCTCAGAAATGGGCTGTTCTCTTTGACCACACTTGTTTATGCTATTTGGGGTCAGTCATCCTTTCTCGGTGGACAATGCCGTTTACAAGCTCAAGAGAACAATCTTAACAGGCACACAGGTCCCTCTGACCCAGGAGATGGTGCCCAGAGCCCCTTGTTAAACTTTATATGTCTCCATTTTAAACCCGTAGCGTGCACTGCCTATCTCTGACTGTCATTACTGTGTATGCAATGCTTTGGTGATTAATGATACAGTGTGGGCCAATCCAGAAAGCATCTTGTGAACCCAACATAGATCGACACTATGACGTAACGGCACCAGGCAGCAACACTCGATCACAACACCAGCCAGCTAGAGCCTGTGCTGGAGGGGTTGGTTCCTGCACTGCACAGCTCTTTTTGGACTCATGTCCTAGGACCAATGTTGTTGCAGCATCAGCTCTGCTGAGCCCAGGCTTGTGGCATTTGAGGCTGGCTGACACCAAACAAGGCTGACTTGAACAGGCATGGATATTTTCCTTCTGTTGGCTTGTATGGGCTTATATTATTTTCGTATGCTGACAGCCGCACTAGCGTTTCGGATGTCAAAGATTTTTTTTATGAGTGATCTGAATGACGAATGAGTTTATAATACACAAAGGAGTTCTCTGTGTCTCCATGACCCTGGAAGGCTGTTCTGTTTTGTTTTCCGTGCCTTGACCTCCCAAGTTCCCATTTAGGAGATCTGTCTAATGATGGCTGCAGCTGCTATTTTTAAGATGTCCCTCCCTCAGAAGGTCAGCCTGGGCTACAAAACCACACATGCCCCCCGGGAATGCAGGTGGACAAACACAAAAATGCAAACCAATGAGGGCAGAAACGAGGAAGTTACTGTGAACTGCCTGGTTTTTCTAAGAAGTGGTTGTTTATCACTATATGCATAACATTACAGAGGTGCACCATACTCTGCAAAACACAGCGAGGTGTATCCTACCCCATAGAACTCACAGAGAATGAGTGGGTCTGGATGCTGTTTTTCCCACTTCTTCCTTCCTTTTCTGGATCTGAGGGGGCCACCAGGGGGTATGACATGAGAGGCTGCCCTGTGAAAGATCTACTGAACAGTTCCTGGTGGCTGGTTTTATTAAAGAGAAGCCCAAGCATATGGCTTCTCAGCACCAGTGAATTTTTGATTTCTCCACCATTTAGTGCTCAGATGCACAAAAGCCTCCCTGATTAGTGCACCAGATTATAAACATAACTAATGGGTTCTGGGCTGGCTGCTGGCAGCCTTCACCCCTCTTGCAAAGATGGTCTTGTCAATGTCTACAGTGAAAAGATGTCACATAGCAGAGGTGGACTTTTGATGTCAGCAGCTCCTAGTGGTCAATTACTGAAAGATTAAGGGGTGAATGTTCAAGTCAGTTTTTATTACTTGACTAGTTTGTCCATCCCAAAAGAGGATTCTGTTGTGTATTCTCTGACCACCAGCTGGAGAAATGTGCTGGAGCTTTTGTTATCCTGAGAGAAGTGGTGGTGAAACCAATGGTGGGAATGTTGAAGAGGAGCAGGAGTTGCTGTGGAGTTGTCAAGGCCTTGGGTGTGGCAGTGCCAGGGCCGGCTCCAGGCACCAGCCCAGCAAGCAGGTGCTTGGGGCGGCCAAGGGGAAGGGGCGGCACCTCGGGCTGTTCGGCGGCAATTCGGCGGCGGGTCCCTCTCGGAGGGAAGCACCTGCTGCCGAATTCCTGCCAAAGAAGAAAGTGGCACGGTGGAGTTGCTGCTGGAGTGCCGCCGATCGCAATTGCGATCGCGGCTTTTTTTTTTTTCTGCTGCTTGGGGAGCTGGTCCTGGGCAGTGCCATCTAAATACCAACCAAAGCAACCTCCATCCTCCAGGCCAAGTCTCTGGTTCTTGAGACGGGTACAGTACATACAATCTGATAGTGACTCAAGAATCCAGTCAGTGTAGTGGTTGTTTCGGGAGCAGTGCACCTGTTTTACTGCAAGATTATCAGTACTAATGAATTACTCTGTCCCTAAGAAAGATGAGTAAAACAATCGAACACCAGGTGGTGGAATACCAGTGCATCACTGCAGGTCATTATAGAGGACATTGGTGCTGAGAGTAGATTGGTGAAGGGATTTCATTAGCAAGCCACAATGCAGATAAGAAACGATCTCTTGTGTCTGTCCTGTTCTCTAATCAAAATACCGCTGCTAATCTAAGCACATATGTGGCACTTTACATTTTCAAAGCATTGTACAAACAGCAACTAATTAACCATCTTCTCTTTTTTCACCCCTAATATTTGTTTGATTTTTGCTAGAATACCAGCTTGTTGTCAAAGTATGTGAGGAAAAGGCAGTCAGCTGCTGTTGTGTTGAGGGCTATATAACTAGTTGGACAGATAGATGTAGTCTGGGGGTTTTGTGTTAAGATATAAAGCTCCCTAGCTCACTTTAGGGCTTCTGTATTGGGTCAGATTCATTTTGATAGCAGGACTAATGTTTTTTTCTGTGCCTGGACTCAGAATGGGAGGGCATGTGTGTTAGGTGCCATCAGTTCCGTACAGGAAGTGTGGGAAAACCAGCATTTGTGGCATTCCAGCTTGGAATATCAAACTGATGGAGCCCAAGCATAATTTATGTCTATTTGCACTACTATTAGATGGTAAATTGTCCCCTTTTTCCCCCATCTTATCTTTTTACAGTTTCCATCTAAGATTTCCTTTTCCTTTTTTTGTCCCCTCTATATCTGGCATTGACGATTGCTAGCAGGCGCTTTCAGGACAACTTGATTTTGTTTTATTTTTTGCTGTCATTATCTCCCACTATAAAATTCTCTATGGGAGTTGATCCTGGAATTGCCAGTCTAGCCAACGTAGGTTTCCAAGTTCCTTCAGCTGCAATAAACAGAGAACACTTCTCGCTCCTCACTTTGCTATTCTGAGAAGACTTGGCAACTGAGGTCCGATGGTGTCTTCCCATTAAAATCTA